CAGCCTTTTTTTAGCTAATTTCCTAATTTTTGTGCTAATGTCTGCTTATTGAAACCTAATTTAGCAAATATGTTATTTCTGCTTTCTTCTGCTAATTTAAGCTTGTTTTTTCACTTTAGCTAGATTTATTAATAAGCACTCACACTGCATTTTTGAAGGAAATGCAATAGTTATCTTTAGAACATAAGGGTGGTAAGTAGGGATGCGTAGGGAGCTGCAGCACCACCTGAAGGCCCAAGCACATAATTGTTTGAAAAACATTTAAATTATGCTGCTTAAATTCAACTGCCCAGCTCTATTGAAGCTCCTATGTAGGAAAAGGTCATGTATGATTATAATGTGTTGCTGTGTAATAGTATTAATCTTCTGTCATTTGCAGTTTTGTCACATATGCTTTTTGAATCTTGCATCATTTCAACATAATTATATTTTTCAACTTGTGCTCATGGGTGTCCACCATTAACTGTCATTTCAGATTATTAAGATCCTGTTCTGTGTCCTTGACTGCACCTTAAGTTTGTCTTGTGCTTTAGAAAAATTAGAAGGAAAAAAAAGCATATGAGCTGATAAAATAAGTTTTCCATATGGACTTATATGAGGTTCATTCAGAAGCTTTATTGCATTAAAACCTGCATGAAATGAACACTTAGTACAGAATTGTTTGTTTTAAAATCTGATTTATTTAGAAAAAAAACAACAACTTTTTTTTCTTTTAACTTAAAGATCAGACTGAGAATAAACATTTGTGCTCAAGATTTAGCAGATGCTATTCACTTTTCAGCCGATTCAAATCCCCTTCTATTACACGTTTGAATTTTCTAAACATGTTAAAACATGTTTAATGGCATGTGTTTATACATGTTTATCACCTACTGTCCATTTGCTTTTACTCTAAAAAGGGAAAATTGATGAAGCAGCAGCGCTTGAATTACTTCAGGAACAAGTGGAACCTTCTGGAGCTGAGTATCATCTTTCTGAGCTGGAGCGCTGTGGCCATTTTTATCAAGAGGACCCTAATTGGAAACCGTGACATGACGTACTACCAAAACAACAAAGAACAGTGAGACTAGAACCAGCATCTCGCTGGGCTCAGACCTTTGGCAACAAAATTGTAAGAGGGAGTCCCCAACATGTCTTGCATGTTGCATCACAGGAATTTTAATAATGTTTGAAAAACATGTTGCAAAACAAACTTTTCTCAAAATAAAAAGTGTCATGGGCATATGGAACCCATCTCAAACTCTGCTAAATTTTGTTTCACTAAGTCAGAAAGTGCAAATAATTGCACATTTAAAAGGTTGAGTCAGGTGCTATGGGCAGGTTCTTCTTTGTTGAAACATTTTGCCTTTTATCCAAAAGACTTCTTCATGTGGGCTTTCTTTGTTTTGTTCTCCTGCACTACCCTGTGTTGGATAAATTAATTATCCTATCATCAACTCATTAATCAAATAAGCCACTCAGAGGATAACGAGAAGATTTTTGAACTTGCAAGAGGTGCCAAATTGAAAACAGGCTTACAAAGATGTTCCATGAAGCTCTGGTCACAAGGTCTGCCCACAGACAGCATAAAGAAGCGTCTACTTATAATGTTTATCAGACAGAGCCGAGGCCTAGATGACCTCTGCTTCACAGATCTGAGGGCGTCAGAAGTGATCAGTTCAGTGGTGTAGTCTGCGTGATACGCAGGTATATGGAGTATACCCACTAGAAAAACTTGGGAGTACCCACTTAAAAGTGCCCACAGACACAAGCTCATGTTATGTATCATTGTCAAAACATTTGAAACATTTTATAGACACAATGAGTTGGTTCAACCTGTTTTTTTGTATAATTTATATTTCTGCACTTACTACTTAATACTTGAACATATTTTGCTTTGAAACTGTTTTATAAATCCTATAACGTTTTTAATACAAAGCCAACTGTTGTACACAGTTTGTTGTACATTTATTCAAATAAAAGCATCAGAGATATGTTAAATGTGCTTAAAAATCTAAATAAATTAATAATTACATTATACTAACTGGTGTATTTTGATTTCTAAGCACAGTATACCCACTACAAAAATGTAGACTACACTACTGGATCAGTTATGCAGACTCCTCTCTGAGTAGACAAGAAGACTCTTGGCCTCACACACATGGTTCTACATTAATTCAACATTAGTAAGTGATAACATCCGTGACCTTTACATACATTTCTGACACCCTGCGTTTTTCTTCCTTGTGTTCAGGTCCTGTCTTCACTTTTAATCACCCAAGTTGTTGTCTTTCTGTCTCGTCAGTGTCCTGTATACGAGTCTGTGTCTTTTCACTCCTCCTTTGTTCGGCCATTATCCTTTGAAAGGCTTTGAGGTTCTCACTCCCTCTGTGTCTACCCTCACAACGTAAGTTTTGCTGCCCCGTCAGCACTTTGTTTTAGTTATTGTAAAAGAAAAGCAATTCTTATTTTACTCCAGAGTCTCCTGCCTCTACCTGCACATGGGTTCAACAATTAATCAAAAGATCATGTCACTTCAGTCAGACTTCTTCCAGACTGAAGAACTCTTTTGGATGAACGATGAAATGTTTCAACAAAGAAGAATCCTTCTAGAGGACCTGACTCAACCTTGTTAGATTTAACTTTCTGGATTATTGAGCATGAATCACAACAGTATTGCACATTATTTGCTGGAATGTTAAACAATGCAGCGATTTATTTACAGTTATGTACATATATTAATATTTAAATATATATAGATATATATAGATATATATGAA